TGGTGCCACCACAAAGCGTCTCTTGGGAGTGCATGGCCTACGGGCCTATAGCATTGAGCGGGAGGATTTTCAGTGGCAGGATTTGTGCACAGTTACGGGTACGCTTTACGCAATGTTCCTGGTTGCAATGGCAGCGCCTTCTGGTGTCATCTGGTTCAGTCCCCAGTGCTCGACATTTTTGAGAATGTGCTCGTTCCACACTGGGAGGTCCACGGCCGATCCTGCGGGACATGAAGGCAGACGAGATTGTCGAGAAGCCAACTTTATTGCGCGTCTCATGTCCGAGGGAGGGCGCAAACAAGAGGGGAGGGGGACGTGATTTGGGTTGGAGAGGGGGAGGTTGGAGGGGAGGAGGGGGGAGGTTGGAGGCGGGAACTGAGGATGGGGGAGGTTGGAGGCGGGGAGCCCTCCTCCTCCTCCCTCCTCCCCCCCTCTTCATCCTCCTCCTCCTCCTCCTCCTCCTCCCTCCTCCCTCCTCCTCCCACCTCCCTCCTCCTCCTCCCTTTTCCTCCTACTCCTCCTCTTCCTCTTTTTTTTTGTGTTTGGACACCTCCGCAAGGTGCTTTCTAATTACACTGGCAGTGACGCGTTCCGTGCATTACGTGATCGAGCAGCCCCTCGATTCTTTCATGTACCGCATGGAGACAATCGCGTCGACGCTCGACGCCTGGGGTTCCAGCCGGGCTGTTGCGTGGATGGGCGCGTTCGGAGCTGCTTCCCCCAAGCCATTAGAGTTTCGAGGGTCGGCTCCTTTTCTGTCGGACCTCTGCCGATCCAAGAGGCAGGCTAGCAAGAGGCTGGGCACTCAAAAGGTCCGATTGTATATAACCCAGAAGAGAGTTTCTAAGAAATCTTCTGGGTGGCGTAAGTCGGGTTGGACAACGGGGGCCAAGGGTCGCTTGAAATCGCCCCAGGTCTACCCCGTGGATTTTGTTAAGTTGGTGGCCAGCCTCGTGTCGAGTGGTTTGACCGCTGCCACCAGGATGGGCTGCACTATTTGAGCGCGCGCGAGCCACGAACTATGCACATGAACACATCCAGCACGCCAGCAACAGTGAACATCGTGGCACGCGCGCGCTCGGCCGCATATGCAATTCAATTAAGTGGGTGGGTAACCATCCCTTGTCAAACCCTGGGCGCACCAGCGCAGCGTAGCTGCGCGCTGTCGATCTTCGGGGACCGAAATGCATCCTGGAAGGCAAATCCTGAGAAACGGATCCTCCCCTTGTCTCCTGCCCTTCGCCCCCTCCTCCCTCCACCTCCTCTTCCTCGTCTTCCTCCCTCCAACCCATGCCACTCACCCGCCCCCTCACTCTTATCCGCAATTGCTGGGCGCTACGTATTTCTGGACTTGCTTCCAGGGGGGGTCTCAGGCCAGAACGTTGGAGATCACACGCAACATCGCATGCATATGAGTTGGCGTGTGTTTTTTCAAGCTGCGTTGGAAAGGGGGGCGAAGGCCGTCTCGGCCCGAGCATCATGACAGTTGTGTGG